GCTCTCATACAAGCCCTTGTGAGAGCATTTGCTACTTGGATAATAGATTTTAAAAATATATAATTGGAGATACAAATCAATTTATATTACTGGAGGTCAATACTGGAGGCAAAGTGATACTTGAAGATAACACCACTAGGTAGGATCAAGTATGATTGGTAACATGAAGAATTTTTTGATTGAAAATATCTTATTGGTAGAAGTATTAAAACATAATTTGCTAAGTATTAGTTAGCTTTGTGATAAGAGGGTCAATATAATTTTTTTGCCTACAAGTTGCATTATAAGAAAAAATGGAGTTAACGTGTTGCATGGAGATTGGGTAAATAATGTTTACATGCTTAATTTAAATTATGTTAAATATTCTAATGCCTTTTATATAAAATCTGTTACTCATGAATCTTGGTTAGGATTTCATGTAATAAATTATGTAAATCTTTATTATTTATTTTTTGACTTTTAATAGGACACAATGGAGAAAAAGGATTCATGTAGCCGACCCCACGTAGTGGGATAAAGGCTTGATGTTGTTGTTGTTGTTTATTATTTATTTTTTATTTTTTATTTTCTTGAGCCTAAGAGAGTGTGATTGTAATTGAGTAATCATGCACACACACAAGGGGAAAGTGTTAAAACTTAAAATTTTAAAACTAATCATACTGCATGACTTCGAATCATACTGTTCGATTTGTCATATTTTTCCTCCTAAATGCAGTTAAGTAAATCATGGATTATATTTTTTTAACTATTTATAATATACGAAGTTAGTTCGTATAGATGACTGACATTGTACAAAATTGGATGCGTACCAGTTCATCCCAAATGAATTAGTTTGTTTTTGTATTGTCCATATTGTATGAAGTTAGTTTGTACATAAGAGACTGATAGAGTACAAAATTAGGTTCATCCATAATTATACCAGATAAAGCATGATTTGTATTAACTATTCATACTATATGGTGTTAGTTCATACAAATGAGTGACAGCATATGAAATAAGGTTCATACCATCTCATACCAAACGAACACATTTAGTTTTGAATTGTTCGTATAGTACGATGTCAGTTTGAATAGATGACTAATAGTGTACGAAATAAGGTTCGTACATGATCATACTAAGATTTTTGAACTTTTTGTACAAACGATTCATGATCGTACTGTATGATCTAAAGTTAGTTCACTTGTAATTTTCAATTTTTTGGACAATTTTTCTTGTGTTGACTATATAAGAAGTCTTAAAAAATGACACTAAAGACCTTATCTATAATTTTCACTTAAGAGTGGCCATTGGGTGTGAGTATTTGGGATAGATTGTGAGAGTAAAGTGTGAGAGATCAAGTGATATGGATTTTTAAGGGATTCACAAGGTTGCTAAAAGCGAGAATCTCTTTGTCTTCTTCAAATTTCTGCCCATATCCTCTAGTTTGAGAGAAAATCTTCGACATTGTGTCTAAGTTATCTTCCTTCACTAGGATGGTGAAAAAGATGTGACGATTCTCTGCCTTCACCATGAGGGTGAAAAAGTACGTGATGATTCTCTTTCTTCACCAATAGGGTGAAAAAGAACGTGATTGATCTCTACCTTTACTAGGAGGGTGAAAAGATACATGACGATGCACTGCCAGCACTTGGAGGGCGTAAAAGGCATTGGTACTCTATCGCACTAGGTTGGTGGAAGAGAGTTTGTAAGGGCTTCTTTGTCTTGCTTTGGGGGAAAAATGAGAGTCGCTCTGATTTAGTGCAATGCTTGGAGAATGAGTCTCCAGATAGTGGATGTAAGTCTAATTTGGACCAAACCACTATAAATTTGGTATTCTTTTATTCACTTTTATTTTTTCTTTATTTTTTTTGCTTTAAAGTTTTGTGGTTAAAAAATATTTTAAGATAATCATATCTAAAAAATTGCATAGTCAATTATCATTGCTAAAATTTTTATAAATAGTTTTCAAAAATTTAAGAAATTTTTTACATTTACCAATTCACCCCCCTCTTACTTAGCATTGGGATAATTCAATAAGGTCTAACAATCAACACGAACTTTCAAAGACTTTTTTAAACAAAAAGAAAAATTCTCCTTTTTAAAGATTTTTCAACATCTAAAAAATAGATAATTTTATTCCTTGATGTGAAAGCAAAATAATTTCATAATAACAAAAAATCAGATATTTCAACCAGACAATTATCACAAAAATAAATTAGAAAAATAAAGTGCAAAAAAATAAAATATAGAATAATCACACCACATATTTATAGTGGCTCAGTCAACCTGATCTACATCCACTCCCTAGAGTCAGCCACTCTAGGTATTGCACTAAACTTTTAATGACTCTCATTTGACCCCCACAACTAAGCTGAGAATCCCTTACAAAATCTTTTCTATAGACCTAGTGCAATAGAACACTATAATCCTTTTTCTCCCCTAAGGAGATGACAGAGAACCACAAATCTATTCACAAGAAAAGAACATTGACTCGCTTTCACCTTCCCCGATGCGGTGGAGTAGTCGGGTCCTTTGACACCAAAGAGATCTTATTCTTTCCAAAATATCTCTCAAGACAAACCTTGAATTTGAATGTACTAAGGTGAAAGCTTGCCAGAGTAACCATGTGAAAACACCTCCACACTCCTTTGAATCCTACAAGGTTCTTCTCCCTCTCAAACTCCACCCTTTCCTCTCTCTCCTATTCAAGGATCTCTCTTCAAGTTTTCTCCAGAAGAATGGAGACTTAATGCATGCCAAAGACACTTACAATATCTTTTTAGAAAGCTTAAATAGAGGGCTTAAAAAATCCTAAAAAATCATCTCAATCGTTAAGGATCATACAACACAATTGCAGAATGTTCTAGTACGATCTTTAGTACGAATAGTTTAATCTTCCTTTTAGTATTATATGTTCATTAGTATGAATGACCGATTATATAATACAATTAGTTCATCCGAAATGAATTCATCTTGGATGAATCATGAGGCGACCAAAATTGTCTCTGTTGATTGTATAGTATGATCACAATATCAATATCAAATAGATTTGATTGATTAATCATATAATTAAATTAGAAAATATTTCAAACATTGTACAATACGATTAGATTTATACAATACGATTAGAACAAGTTTTTTAAATTCAAAATTTTCCCTAATTTAATGGACGATAGGCTTTCTAATTATAATATATCATCCAGTATGATGTGGTGTTTATATTGTATGATTAGTTATATTAAAAAATATTTTCCCTAGAAAAATAAAATATTTTAATTAATTTATGCGATACTGAATCGTACAGTACGATCCATATCATATAATATGATGTATAAAAACTTTAAAATATTAAAAAAAACATTTTTGTTCCTCTTGTGTGTGTCTGCATGGTCACCATACTGATATACATCATTACATGACTTAATGCAAGAAATAAAAAATAAATAAAAGAAAATTATAGACTTATTTAACATAACCTATTCTACCCAATTTTGACTCCTGAATCTTGAAAGAATGGTGCATGGTGTACCTGAAATATTAGTTAATACAAACAAATATGCTCTACAAATATTTGGAGAAATAAAGAGATAATAAATAATATTTGTTATAATTAAAATCATAAACTCGAAAGCCCAAGTTGCAACAAATAGGCTCAAATCAAAGGCTTAAAGCGTATTGGGAAGTTTTAGAGTATTAATTGGATGACCAAATGATATCTAAATATATAATGCTTATGGTCGAATTGAGTAGCTCGACGAGCTAAGATAACTTAATTATTAAATTATTAAGGCAATTAAATGTGAAATGAATGTTATATGATCAAGGAAATCAATATGAGTTGTCCGATGGAGCACTCCTAATTTGTGCGAGATCTTCTTCATATTCCTTTGAGGTTTCTAGAGTTCCACCACATGCAAACTTTTATCAATTGACCACTATCGGACCTCCTCCTGATTGCCAAGCTCCGTCAAACCTCTAGCAGGCTGCCAACCACCATCAAACCTCCGACCAGCCATTGCCAGACATCCACTTTGCTACCAGAACTTTGCTTGCCCGTCACTTGTTTTCGGACCTCCACTAAACTACCGACCACCGTCACACCTCCGCCCAACCACCACTGGCCTCCACTAGACCTTTGCCCAACCACCAATCGACGCTGAACCTCTGATTGACCGCCCGACTACCACCGGACCTCAGTTTTGTTGCCAACTATTGCAGAATCTTCTCTTACTTGCTGCTACCAAACAATCGACCTCCGTCATCCGACCACAGTCATTACAAACTCTTAAATAACCATATGACGTCTGACTAACTCTCCAAACTATTGTAATTTCATCGTCTCCAAGTTAAGGGGCGGGTGCATAATGGAATCTTCTCACCTACAAAGCTTCATGCTTTTTCACTTTTTAAAATTTTCACGTAACAAATTTTCTAATGTTCTATTGTTCTCTCAACTATCTATTAATGTATTGGATATTCGTTCATTGCTAAGATGAAAAACTCTCACTTCCTACCCAACGAATTTATCGGTCCACAACAATTTTTTTTTCTTTTGAATTTGTAATTTAAAAAAATCCTCCAATCTCCCATATGATGCTTGCAATTTATTTGTGTGCATGCATGAGAGATTAATGTACAACTCTAAAATATTAAACTCATTCACACTACAATGAATATATTTCAATACCCATTACTACCCCATACTTTATCTTAGCAAAACTCACTCTCTCACAAAACTTAAGTTTACCATAACACTATTATTTATTATTGACAAATGTGGGCATCCAAAATTAAAATATATATATATCCACACACATAAATGGCCTAATTTATCTACCCATCAATACTGTAACGTTTTTGGACTATTAGAAGCGCAAAGAAGATATTTCTTTTATTTTCTAAATAAGTTAATGGTCAAAAGTAGCATTCATGGGAGCTTTCAAAGCAATAAATAAGATACTTTGAACAAGCTCTCTTTGACCGTGGGATGATTGTTGACTGACAAATCAGAACGAGAGCACTTTCCAAACCAGAACGCCTCCTTATTTAATACATTTACAGCCGCAACCCGTGAAAGGTAATTTATTAATGGCAAAGAGATTTCTAGAGCCAAAGAGGGAGAAGAAAAACAAAGAACAATATTCACTCCATTCCATAAAGAAGAAATACAAAAGCCATGAAATAAGAAGAAGAAGAAGAGGAAAAAGAAGTAGAAGAAGAGTAATTGAAGGAGAAGAAAGCTATGCAGAATCAAACTTATAGTGCTTGTCGACAGCAACAGAAACATCCCATGTACAACTTAAGCCCTTGGGAAAGAACACAAGATCTCCAGATCCGAACTCCACAAACTCAGAGGATCCTTTGATGTAGGCCTTTACTTTCCCCTTTAGAAGATAACATGTCTCCTTCGCATCAAACTTGAGAGGAAACTTGCCTGGAGGACAACCCCATCTACAGCAAGAAGAACAAATAGTTTATCATATTGATGAAATACACATCAAAATAACCAGATCTCTCTCTCTTTCTTACACAAACACGCACAGAGAGAGAGAGAGAGAGAGAGAGAGATGAGAACAGACAGTGATGAGAGGAGGAATAGACAAAGCTTACTTTGGCCAAGACTTGATGCCGAGCTCAGCTAAACGCGACTCCGAGGGCTTCCTCTCAACGCAGATGGACAGGTTCGAGGAGTCGATAGCCATGTCTTCTTCTTTGTTGGAGCTTGAAGCCATAGTGGATGAATAGAACAACTATGGAGGAGGGGAAGGAAGAAGAGTTGAGCGATTTGATGTCCTTGTTTTAATTCTGTAGTTTACTTTCCTTTAATGTCAAACATAAGAAAGGAAAAGGCAAGAAGGAATCTCTTATCTACTTCTTATATAGATACTCTAAAGAGTTATATGGTTTCGAAGGTGAGATGGCTAAGCGCTTAAATAGCAAGAGAATATGCAGTGGATAAAGTATCCGGAATTCTTATTTCTCAAGTGCGCAATTACTGGTTATATATACATATATAGGATTTCTATTTTGCGTAATAAGTTGCAAGTTTAATGCAAAATTCAAAAAATCTGTTATTGCTGGTTTGATTGATTCAAATCTTCGATTTTAAATAAACTTTTACTGAGTCTTCTAATGAGAATGAGAAGGATAGAGTGAGCTTGTTGCATGATCTTGTTAGTCCCAATTGAGTATTCGGCTCGTTAGAGATCGAACGAAATAAAACCCGATTTTGAACAAATGAAAATAAATAAATAATAAGCCAAACAAAAAAGAGTCATTCAAATTATCTACTAAATGACTAAAACACACACACACACTAATATATATATATATATATGGCCAATAAAGAGCTAAAAACATGTGAATAAGGCTCTCTTTGTATTCATCTTGTTAAAAAAAAGCTCAAAATAAAGGTTCAACATCGACTTGTTTACTTAATGAACAATGTGCTTTTTCTATATCACTGTTGGTGGAGTATTTAGAATTTTGGTTGAGGGTGCTTTATGACGCCCTGAAAGATGATGCTCCTATCATTGACCCAAAACGACATAACTCATGTGCCTAATGGGTTATATCATGTTGGATACTTGACAAATAACACCTTATATTTAATTGAAAGGAATTTTTATCTTCCTTTGTTTTCATATATACTAATAACTTTCATTATACACCACCATAAATATCTTTAAAATCATTGTACATCCATCACTATCTATCATCATATAATATCACCATGATTGTAGAAATGTCAAATAACAAAAGTCATACATATAAATGTGAATCTTTCACTTTTATCTCAACTTATTCCTTTTTCGTTCCATGTCTTGAAATTTATGTATGAAGATAAAATAGGAATGGTCATCAACCGCTTAATAGATTATCCAAAACGTACTTAAATTTTTAATATATTAAAAAGACAATAATAAACAATCTATTTTATTACCATTATAGAAACAATATAACATGCTATAGTTATAGAGCTATAATAATTATGCTCACATTATACTAATACATTTTCTAAACATGACAATTATTCTATTATATTAAGCCCAATTTCAACATAGAGATTTAATATAAATATAAAAGTTAGATTATAATATAATGATAACTAAAATAAAATACATCACATCAATTTCCCCTCAAACTCTTACACCCCTCAAGTATTTCATATATTCATTATAAAGTCCTTATACCTCCCAAATTCTTCACATATAGATTATCAGGCCATTATACCTCCTAAGTACTTCAGATGTATAGTATCAAGCTGACCTCATTCCTTCCAAGCACAACATAACATGTTATAGTTATAGGGCTATAAAATTATGCTCACATTATAAGAATACATTGTCTAAACATGTCAATTATTCTATTATATTATGCCCAATGTCAACATAAAAATTTAATATAAATATAAAAGTTAGATTAAAATATAATGATAACGGAAATAAGATATGTTGAATGACCTCTAGATTGTTGTCGAGTGTAATTTGAGTTTTGATAGAAATTGGTTAAGGAGATAGTTTGCATTCTGTCATTCCAAAGATATGTAATATATATTGAGCATATTTGGATTGATGATGAAAGTAGGTGGGTGTGTGGTTTATTTGAATTCCAACGAAGAGTAAAATAGGACCAAAGTCTTTAATTATAAATTCTTGTTTAAGTGTTGTAATAGTGGTGGAGATGAATGGTGGATGGTTTGGTTTAAGGAAATATAATAGATCGTATTTGATGACCTCTAGATTGTATTGTAAGATATGTTGAAAAATTGTGAACTTTTGTTCTCCTTTGTATTGGACGGGACTAGTTTTGAACTGATCATACTATACGAACTTAGATCGTACAGTACGAACAGTGATGGCTAACTTGAATTTTTAGGGTTTTTTTAAGCCTATTATAAAAGTAATTCTTTAACCTATTTGTATATAGTTGTGAAGAGAGGAACGTGGATAAGGAAGAAACTCTAAGAGGGAGCTTTTGAAGAAAATTAGAGTTTGTGAGACGAAGGAGAATGTGAGCTTGAGCATGTGAGAAGAGTGTGAGGGAAATCACACATTTGCTCCGGGCTAGTTGCACGCTTGCTCTTCTTATGACATTTGGTGAGTCTTGTGGGAACTCTTCAGGGAGAGAGGATTCTTAATCAATCCTCCAGGTTCTCTGCCGTCTCCAGGAGGAAGAAAAAATAATCAAGGTTCTCCTGTAAAAGAAGTTTTGGTTCTCTACCGCACAAGGTTAGTTAAAGAGATATTTGTAAGGGCTTATCCACCTTACTTAGGGAGCAAAAGGAAAGTCACTTGGTGTTAATGCAATACTCATAGTGGAGGATTCTAGGGACTGGATGTAGGTCATGGTTTGATCGAATCACTATAAAATTTGATGTGTTCATTTTCATTTTACTTTCTACGTTTTACTTTTTGCACTTCATCTTAGCTAAAACTGCTTGATAAATTTCTAAGATATATGTTCTATTATGATAATTGAAATTACATCATTGCCATTTTTCAAGACATTTTTAATTTGTTAGCTTCTGCATACAAAAATTAAAATAGCTTATTTTTAAGTATTTTGAAAAATCCAAAAAATTAGCACTCTTACTTAGGATTATTTTTTAAAAGCACTAACTCACCCCCCTCTTGGCATATTTCATACTTTCAAGTGGTATCAGATAGTGTCATAAACATAATGTTTTAGAAAATCTTGAGATAAATTATCTATAACACATTTTGGTAATCATAACACTGTGGAGGCTTATTCAATAACCTATCCACCTTTATTTGAAATAATCCCAGTTGATTTTTGAAAAATTTGCATGTCCACATTTCTACAATCTTTAGATTATAGAATTTGGCATATGATTCAAACCGGTTACTCATTTCCATCATATATTATTAATGGTGTTAAAATTAATAATCCCTTTAATGAACAAAGCAATGAGGATGGAGAGCTTGTGCAGTTGAATGCTAAGTGTTTGAATTGTTTATTTTGTTATTTAAAATCTGAAGACTATATGCGAGTTTCTACATGCACAATTGGAAAAGAGATTTATGATATGTTGTGTATCACCTATGAGGGAACTAATAAAGTGAAATAGTCTAGGCTAAACATTCTTTTACATGGCTACAAACTTTTTTGCTTGAGACCTAGCGAGATTGTGTCTAAAATATACAGTAGGTTCACCTAGATAGTAACATCCTTGCATTTACCAAGTAGAGAAATATCTAATTCTGAAACGGTCAATAAGATTCTGTGTTATTTTCATATCTCCTAAGATGCAAAAATAACTATAATTACTGAATCAAAAGATTTAAATATTTACTCAATTGACAATTTACTTGAATAACTCATTACCTACGAGCAAGGGGAGAGTTAAAGGCTTAATTATGCAAAAGAAAAGAAAAGGAGAGAACTGTGGCATTAAAAGCAAATGCTTCTGATAGTACTAACTCTTTAGAAGATGAGGATGATGAAATAGCCTTGATGACATGCTAGTTCAGGAGTTTTTTGAAAAGAAAACAAAAAATTATCAAAAACAACTAGAGCAAAGGTAAAGGTCATAAATCTACTAAATTTTTGTCTAATACAATTTACTTTGAGTGCATGAAGCTGGGACACCTTCGAGTTGACTGGCCAAATCTAAAGACAACCCAATTAAAGAAAAGGGTGAAGAGAAACTAAAGTACGAAAGGGGCAAGCAAAAGACACAGAAAAACTTTTAGACCAACTCTACCTCAAAATCATCAGTAAAAGAAGTAGAGGATGAGATAAAAAATATGAGTCTAATGGCTAATGATTATATTTTGGGCCAACTCTACCTCAATCTGATCAAGATGAGGTATGTCAACTCTCCTATGATAAATTACATATATTATTTCTAAAAAATATTCATGATTCATATAGGAAGCTTAAGAAAATGCATGCTAGTCTTAATACTGAATTTTCTACTTTGCAAAAAGAGCATGATAGTTTAATTATCGATCACTTTATTTTAGATAATGATCATCTGGATTTATTACATAAGTTTTTTGCATTAAATACTAAGCATATGGATTTATCTGATGCATATAATTCCTTGAAAATATCACTTATTGAGTTGGAAAAAGCATTTAAGGATTTAGATGAACTTGCATGTAAATTAGATAGAAGTGAGCATGCATTAAAAGTGAAAGTGGCAAGCTATGAACATACAAATAAATATTTACAAGCAAAAATTACTACTCTAGAAAGTAATAAACCACCACTTTCAATGGCTTAATAGTGCAACTCCTCAACATAGTATGCATCACATAAACTTAGAAAGAGGCACAATCACACACATAGGTTAGTGAACCCATTTCATGGTGTTAGGTATTACTCGTGTGGCATGTTAGGACACATACCCCGCACTTGCACCATCCACTATAGAACACATTTAGTGTGGAGGCCTAAATTGCATTCATCATTGCATAACATACATACATGTCATTCATTCAAGCATAAGGTGGAATCCAAACTCACTTGGATTCCAAAAACTAACCTTTGAATGACATTATAAGGGTGCTCCCTCAAAAGGCCTAGTGAGAGCATGTGGTACCATGATAGTGGCTGCTCGAGGCATATGATTAGTGATATGAAGCAATTCATCACATTGGAGTCCAGGTTAGGAGGCAAGGGGACATTAAAAGATACACCAATAGGAAAGTGGTGGGTTAAGTACAATTGAAAACTCTAAACACCTTATGATTGAAAATGTTTTATAACTTGATGGTTTAAAGCATAATTTATTAAGCATTAGTTAACTATGCAATAAAGGCTTGGATATAAATTTTTTTCTAACAAATACATGATTAGCATAGTTGATAAACTTATGTTAGAAGGAAAACGAATGAATGATCGATGTTTACATGTTAAACTTGAATTATATTGATTTCTCAAATTTCT